CTTACTGTAGTGTACTTGGAAAAATTCAAGAAGGACGACAGGTGGAGCGGTGGGTGGCAGTGGCGGTGCCTTTGTGGCTTTGGCTTGGCAGTCGTTCGCTGTGGCTTAGGTGTGGTTGGCACTGGCTTGGGTGTTGTTGGCTGCTGCTTGGGAGTTGTTGGATAAAAGTCAACTTCCTGCTTCGACTATGCTTTCGTAATCATCGCGTTCGCTTTACGTACCAACTCTCGCTCTACATTTTAGCGTATATGAAAAAGCATAAAACCGATATACAAGGGGATATCTTTCCGTACTAGTTTACCTTCGTCATCAGCATGCTTCGATAAAAGTCATAGATGATTCCCAGCACTCCCAGCGCACCTTCTCTTTTGGAACTGTATGTGTACGAAGTTTGCATCGGTTCAGAGTTAGAATTGTTTGTTTTTGACGTAAGACATTCAGACAGACATTCAGGTTTATATATAAGATGTGACGTTCTCTTATCCCATATCAAGATTAGACTGCATCGATAATGCAATCATTGGATCCCCAATTGAAAACGTTGACTGCTCCACATTTGGCGATATGATTTATGCTTTGGAATGGGGCCGCTCCTCCAACATTACCGGTGCAACGGTTCTGATGAATGTCCGATTCCCACTGATTATGTGGGGAGATGTAGCCCTAAGTAACAAAATCTATAGATTTGTCTTCGTCGGTAACACTAAACCTACCTTCAATTCAAACCATCCATTTTCGGTCTTTCCACAATCCATAAGTAGCTCGACCATCCAATATCCCCTACCATATTTATTGTAGTGCTGATATTCTTTTTCCGACGGATTGTTGGTTGAATATGCAAGAGGTGTACCAAACGCTGACTGCCCGTTATATTTTCCTAAACTTGTGGGCATGTACCCCGCCAAGACCAGTAAATGCCAAATTTATACCTTGGCTTGTTTCAGGCCCTTCAAAGTCAAGATAGTTGTCATTTTGACTCCACGAGCGATATTCAAGGTAACTCTCAGGCACAGTAGTAGCATGCCTGATAGGGATAGCACATTTATCGTTAGTTTGTTGATACGGGCCAGATGCACATGCTGAATGCTGATTATAATGCCTATAGACCGCGCCTGTGCCAAACAGTGCTAGCGCCGTGCCGCCGTCGGCCGATCTATACAAGCCACGTTCTTGTGGGCGCTAACATGCGCTGGCACACGAACGCTGAATGCGGTCGTAATTGTAGTATTACCTCCATTATTGGCATGGCTAGTTCCACCACGAATGAGAAGGTATTCTCCCATAGATGTATCCCTTTTGAGTAATATAACAGTTTTTGTGAAACCGGTAGGGTCGGGTTTTGGGCCTGGAGCTTGCGTCGGTTGCGGGTCAGGTTTTGGGCCTGGAGCTTGCGTCGGTCGCGGTGGTTCCGGACCCGGAGAGGATCCTAAACATCCCTTCCTGCAACTGTTGTGCATGAGTCCTAGCACCGAAATCCCTTACCAATTTTTGAGGCGAGAGAGATGGCTACAACGCGGTTAACGTCTATTTGTGCTCTTCCTAAACAAAGCATTCAGATAAGGTACCAACGAAATGGAATAATTGCTAACCGTCGGCTCCTACGGTAATGGTTTTCCCTGTGCATCTGTTATTTTCGACATATCCGCTAAATACGTCACAATATTGGCCAGCAGGCAACGTGGTTTGGAAAGATCTTAAAGTATCAGATGTCTTTAGTAAACGAAACTATCACAGCTAGTCCCACCTGCTCCAGCCCCCATTTCCATCTATAGCAAAGAAAGCTTTACCATTATGAGCAAAAGCGAGTCTCCGGTATTCCGTGACAATCTGAATCAGGAATCAAAGAAGGAAGACAAGAACTGATATGCTCACCTCTGATGGTTTTGTGCCTTCTACGAGCGATCGCCACTTTGCCATTCCTCTGCAAAGCATTAATTAATCAGCTGTCAGAAAACCACGTTCACGGTCTGTTTCAATCATAGTGTCTCCCAGCCTATCCGCATCGCGAGTGCCTCTTGCGATGTTCGCAGCGTTTGGTTGAATCAAAGCGGTCAATTTGAACTCTGGACTTGCTATCGACGGATGACACGCGTGGTTTTCGAGCAACGTGTTTGTAGCCGCACGCAAAAGGGACACTGCAACCGAGACAGAATGAAGGCCTATGCACCTGAAAGCCGGCCATCGGTGTTCGCAAACAAATCCGGAGGACGGGTCGCAAGTAAGGTCTTGCTTGAATGTTGGCGACTTTGTCTACAAGTTTGCATGACTTTACACTGTTTTTATAGCTTATGTCGTTACCTTAAATCCATTTCCAGGACCCTCACTAGGAGGCCCCTGATTGTTATCGTTGAAATAATAGCTGCTCATAACTCTCGGATAACCGTAGCTCCAACCCAACATGAACGCAACTGCCATTTTATATTGTTCGCCATCTTTGTAACTATACTGTAAGATAATGCTCCTTTGTTCCACAAATTCAATTAATTAATAGCAAGTAAAACATGTAAAAAATCGAATGATTAATGTCGCCTGTCCCTCGACCTCAAATCCCTATGATTGCCAATTGAATCCAAAACATATATGACTTACCACATCTCCTACTTGTCTCTGATTGTCATGATTGTCGATAAAAACCAAAACATCGTTGCTTGCGCCATTACCGTAACCGTAACCAGGTCCAATGTTCACCATTTCACTACAATTAGTATCATTAGCTACGTGCTGAGCATTTAGCTCATTTACTTCCAATCACGGTGGTTTCGTACGCACTGCGTAACCATTGGTCCATAGTTGAAGTTGATATACCTGAAGAATAACTATTATCGCAACTTGGACACGTCTGGGCAATTGTAGGGCACTATGCGAACTTAATCGTTTGTAGTGTTTTCTTTTATCAATGGAATTCGCAAGTTCGTATTCTACATATTTTTTAGCGATCATTGAGATGTTGTGCGCAGCTTTCTTGATGATGTGGTCTCATGCATAGTAGCTCGTAGTGTAGTTAAAGGAGTAGATGCTTGTACAGCTTTCGTCCATTTAGTTTAATATAAATCTCATTTATTTGTGTCTTCTCCCATTACATCACACCTATTTGTATTATAGCACCCATTTTGCTGAATGTTTCGCCTACGTACACATTTTTTTATCCTTGTATTTGCTCGTCACACGGGGTCTGCCACATTCGCTCTCATTAGTCTTCTCCATTTCTTCTCAGTTCAGGGTTTTTTTGGTCTTCGCTGATTTCAAGCTCTCTCACATCTGCTTTGACCTTGTCCAGCCATCGCATCTTAGGGCGTCCTCTCAGCCTCTTTACTGGCACATCCACTAACAAGGCCAGTCTCGTGATGTGGTCTTCGTCTTTTCCTCATATCTCTATACCATCAAAAACGTCTTTCTTAAATCTTCTTCACGACTGGTGTGAATTTTATTACGCCTGTATCGTGTCATTCGGATTTCGGTCAAGCATCGTCACTCCTGTCCATCTCAACATTCGCGTCTCTCTTATGATTTTTCTCCCTTCGTCGCTCTTACATCGCCAGCATTCGCTTCCATATAGTGCCGTTGGTCGTATACTGTACGGTATATCACGGACGTCAGTCTCTCTGGCATTCTTCTATCGCATAGGACTCCCACGATAGTTCTTCACTTCATCCAAGCTGCATTTACCCTGCTACATATCTCATCGTGGAGGCTGCCATCTGCGGAGATACGGCTTCCCAGATGCTTGAAGGAGGTGGTCTTCTTGAGTACCGTACTTCCAATCTAAATAGTCCCTGTTCTGCGGTCCTAGTTCCATAAACTCCGTTTCAGCCGTTTTCAGCTTTAGTCCATGTACTCCAGTTGTTTGCATCTCTGCACTCGAATCGTACATACTTTGTCAGTTAATCTTTCCATAAAAAAATGTTTAATGTTTTATTTGAGGTGTGCTTGTATCCGCTCAATGGTTCTTGGGGCAGTCCAGTTCTATCTAGCAGTGCATCAAATCAATATAAGACCTTGGACAACAAAAAATAGTGAATAGAATGTTTAGTTGTTGTTAAATGGCTTTTCGGCTCCTATACTTTTTTCTAAACCTGATGTTTCGCCCAAACTCTTTCCTTGAAACTTCCTTCAAAGTTTTCCTGCGCTTGCGCCATGCTAGTGCCGTGTCAGTTGATCGATGCGGTGAATTTTGTATATCCCCACTAACTCTTTCTTGAAGCCGCGTCCAGACTTCTCCCGTGCTAACGCCGTGTCAGGTAAGCATTGCCACGGCGCTGGCCTAGCATTAGCACAGAAGCACTCCGAACGCAGCCCAAAAGATATCAATTCCCTATTGGGTAAACCTACCTTCCGAGATTTTCGTACTCTACAACCTTGATAGCTTCACCTCCTCTATCAATGACTTCATGAGCAAAGAATGCCCGCTTATTGGCGCCAAAGATCTAAAGTTTTTGTATCATGCTGTTACCGTATCCAGCAGTGGTAACCCACATCTTCTCTCAAGTTCTTGGTTCCATCCATAATAGCTTTCAAATCTGCTGGCCACATGTGTTTCGAACCGTCAACTCTAAAATACAATTAGGAATTCAGCTAAGAGCAGATATTTTTCAAGTTCAAACAACTAACCTGAATCCAGCAACACCAAGGTCAATGAGATGGTTCAGATACCCAATGATCTTGCCTTGTACATATGACTTACTTTGGTCCAAGTCAAGTAGTCCAACAAGTCGACAGTTCCTTACCTAAACTAGTTATTTCACCCTTTTATGTGTTCATCCCACTCCCTAAAAAGTATTCGAAATCAATAAACTCACCTTAGTTGGATTGTCATGGTAATGTCCAGATCCAATGTTTTCTTTACATCTGTAATCGTTGAAGTCTTGCTGAGTATATGGGACCTAAAATATTACTGTTTTCATACACAAATTCCAATCACGGAAGCGTTGGGGGTTCGTCTTTCTTAAAACCTTTTCCCCCAATTTTTTTCGATTTGCTTTCCATTCTGATATTCTGAACCTTCAACCCTTTGTCCACACCTCTGGGAAGTTTTCTACGCCCTCCGTTGCATCAAAGAATGAACCGCCGCTGCTACCTCTGGTAGCGACTCCTTTTTTCTGTGCAACTCCGGTCATGTGATTGATGACAGTATCGACAACGATTCTAAAAGTGACGAAATCGACTTGGGTAACCAAGCACGCGTGGAACGACATGTTTACCTTACTCCAACCTTGTTACATCGGTCAACCATATCTTTGAACTCTTCCTCGTTACCACTACGTGAGATAAGTTTGTAACTGACTGGCTGGTATCTGCACAAATAATAAAATTTTTCAAGAATGTAAAGTGTCAGCAGTATGAAAACCTACCTGACCCACCAAGGCATGTCATTATTTTGAATCAGTGTTATGTGCTCCATAGGTGGTGAGACCTGCAGTGAATGTAGTACATCGCAATAGTTCATTTTTATGTAGGCGAGTCATCGCACGCAGAGACAAGGCGCCTTCTGTGGTCACTGTCGGCGTCTCTCAAATCTAGCGTGCTCTAACCTCTCTTACCGTCAGCTGCCTCTTTAAACTAATACTTACGGGCGGACGCAATTGCGATCAGTCTGTGCGTGCGCTGCCTCCTCTTTACCTGTACGGCTCCGTATCCATAATACTGTAAGAAATTTTCGCATTCTGCAGCGATATCCTTCCATTTCCACTCGAACAAGTGCACCATTACTTGACGATCTGGCAAGGTGTGGGGATATTCATATCTAAAATATATTTTTTAAGCGTGCATTAACATTGGGGGCGGGAATACTTACGGATCAGCAGTGGCTAGCGCGAAGAGACATGATATCAGTAAAATTTTACCCATGTCTGGAATTTGTAAATGAATTTTTCAGCGAAAACATTCATTGCAAAGCTACAGACTAGTCTAACATGAAGAAAACTCCTGTTTTTAATGGTACAGCAAAACAAGATTTTATTATATTTTCGCCCGTTTATTAATTTCGAGCGGCAAAAACATGGAGGAAGGAAGTTTTTCCAGGGCAATTCTGTACTCCTGCCCTTATATGCGCTCCCTTTTTGTCAGAAGTCAAACCAAGATTAGTCGAGCTGTCAAACCGTCAAAGGGATTAGTGTCAGACAGACATAAGCAGCTACCATGATCATTCGCTGACTTCGTACAAAAAACAGACAAGGAATTTTTGCCATTTTTTCTCGAAGCTCGCCATCAAGAACGAATGACATTTTTTAAGCACACTATGTGCGATAAGATTACAGTCTCCAGCTTCGCAAAAGCGCCACAAAAATCGCTATGAAGTTTGAACTCTCCATGGATGTGAGAAAATAGAAATAAAGGATTGAACGTGTAGCTCTAAAAAAACAAAAATAATTTTTTTTTCAAATTTTTGCAGAAGACATATAGAGAACCACTTAATTAAGATCGATTTGGTTGTTATTAAAGTGATTTGAAAAAACAACGATGATGAAGATTAATGAAAACTATTAGGTTGATGCAAAAGAAATGACCGATTTTTCAAGCCTTTTTTCATGGCAACTTTTTCCCATCAATACTTCTTCTTTACAGCGGATATAATAGATTGCCGCAAAGCTGCATTCATGCTCTATCTAATGGTGTTTGAAATGGGTTCTCATCCTCATCTCTTATAATGTTGCTGAGCTTCAAATAACTGCATCCAAATTCAGAATTTCATTGCATTCACTTTTCCGGCCGGAATTCAATCGCGTATCAATGAATTCCTTCGAAAATCTAGCTATTGTATGTAATAGAAATTTCTAAATTATGCACACTTAACTGCATTCTTTGAAGTTATCCAGACTGAAATATCGGCGCCTAAACGTAGCTATTGCGGTCGCTTTATGACTCATAATTTTCTTCTGAGGAAGAAGTCAGTCGCCGAAGCTTTGCTCAATTCTGTAAGCGTAGGGCTAGGACATCTATTAGCAGCTTTTGCAAAAACATCCAGCTGTTCTACGTAAAAAATTAGAAAATCTATATTCCGGACTTTGAGGCAAACAAAAAAAACTAAGAAATTTTAAGTTTCAATTTTTCTTTATCGCAAAATTTTTTTCCGAACTCTTTCTCTTGTATTTTGTACTACTGGCCTGCGGCTACAAGGTAGGCCACTTGTCATTCATACTAAGAAGCTTTGAAGGAAATTATGAATTGCCAAATACAAGGTTCCCGCAGAAGAACCTTTTTTGTCTTTTAGTCCGTATCTCTTTTCCCTTCTAAGATTTGAGTATAAGTAAGAAAGCGCTGTATTGCGAAAGGTTTGCTGCTTCTGGAAATCTTTACCGCATTCAGAAATGTGGATCTTTCAGAAAGTTATAGCACATCAAAGTGAAAATTCGCAAATCGGCCATTCCTTTTGCATCGACTTAATAATTTAGCTTGATCCTTCGTGGAGCATAAATTGTATCGTTTTACACTCAAAAATACTCCGCTAACTCTGGCGCACCGTGTATTATCACAGCAAACAGTCACAGTATTATCACAAAGCAAAACATCCTTATTTTTTGTCATTTGAAATAATAAGGATGCAATAAGATTACAATTTCTCTCGTGCAGATCTCTCTCAGTTACCTCATATTACGCGATACAAAAATCGATAACCTTAAAGTACTTAAAAGAATAAGTAGTACTAAAAGGAACCTTAAAAGACTCGTCGGGTGCAAATGCTTAACTGGTCAAGACAAGGCCCAAGCATTATCTCAATTTTTTGCGAATACATTTCCTACAAAGTTTCTACTCCCATATCTTTTGAATCTCCTCTATGCCATACATGTACAGCTCCTGCAATCATGCCTTCTAAATCGAACGCATCCTAAGAAAATTAAGACCCTCCAATTCGATCCTTTTGATGGAATCCCACAAATTCTGTTCTAAAAATGTGCGAGAGAATTTTCAATCCCGCTTTGTGCAAGAAATCTGGAAAGAACCCATTGTCATTCCCATTCCCAAGGTGACCAACCCACATTCTATGACCGAATTCAGACCTATAAGCATAAATTGTGTATCATGTAAGGTACTCGAAAAAATAATGCAAGGCAAACTCTTTGATTGGTTTGAAAAATTTAAACTCATACCACCTGAACAACATGGATTCAGTAGTGGCGCATCTACGGTTACTCATTACTTGACTGTACCCATGACTGGATCAACGCTGTCGACGATAAGGAAGTCGATGTGATGTACTTCGATTTATCAAAAGCTTTCGACCGATAAGCCATGAAAAATTGCTGTTTAAAATTGATCATTATGGCATCAGAGGAGATCTATTGAATTGATTTAAATCTTATCTTCAGGTAGAAAAAATGACTGTTCGCGTTGGTCTAAAGCATTCTGGATGTTCCCCGTGCATGAGTGGGCTTCCCCAGGGAGGCGCACTCTACCTCTCTTGTTCAACATCTACACCGCCGATTTACCAAAAATACTTAAAACCCACCCAGATGTGCACATACTGATGTATGTGATATCAAAATTTTCGGTATCTATAATAATCAAAACCGCAGAATAGTCCGAGATGCACGACAACATGCCATCAATCTCATGGTTAAATCCTATTAGGTCGTCCCAAAAGTTCTTTCGCACCAAATTCAAAAATTCATAACTATATGGATTCTCAACGAATTTACAAGGTCTAAATTTTTTATAAGAGAGAAACTCATGCTCTTTGCTAATACCCCTTAACAGTTTGTTAATGTATACAAACGAAGGAGATAGAAGCTCAAAACCAAAATCACCTCAAAATTTGAATTTTTCGTGTAGGTTCATAAAAAATCGGAAACTTGCAACAAAAATCGGAGCAGTCAATATTGTAGGTTCTTTTATCCGCTTTTTCTAACACTGCAAATTTTGCGCCGATTGAGCGACTCTATGAAAAGTTATGATTTTCGAGCAAGCAAATACAAAAGGGCGAATTTGATTTATTTTGGCATTTTTCAGGTAATTCATAACTTTTCACAGAGACGTTCAACCGGCGCAAACTTTGCACTGTTGGAAAAAGCTTGTGAAAAAGCCTAACTGACTGCTCCGATTTTTGCTGCAGGTTTCCGATTTTTTGAGATCCTACACGAAAAATTCAAATTTTGAGTGATTTTGGTTTTGAGCTTCTATCTCCTTCATTTGTACACGTTAACGAACAGTTCAAGTACAATAGCAAAGAGCATGAGTTCCTCTCTTATACAAAATTTAGATCTTGCAGATTCGTTGAGAAATCAACAAGTTACGAGTTTTGAATTTGGTGCGAAAGAACTTTCGGGACGACCTAATATAAAACTTGGAACATTTCTGTAAATGTGAGCAAAGTTCTGTGTTCCACATCGGTGTTACCAAAGATGATAATTTTCTTTACGAACATGCCGGTAAGACCTTGATCAAAAAAACATACGTTAAAAACTTAGGAGTCATAATCAATCCTTTTTTGAAATCAGATTTACAAATCTCAGCCGTTGCCTCTCGTGCAGTCTCTCTCACAGTCAGTTACCTCATATATCATACGAAAGTTGATGACCCTAAATACTCTTGAAACTTCATAAATCTTTTGTCATTTCCATTTTAGAGTATGCGAATCAGGTGTGGTCCTCTTTGGTGAAGCACAAATATTCTCTGGGGAACGTTCAGAAAGTTTTTGCACAATCACTTTTTTACCGCTGCTTCCCTAGTCCTACTTATCCTCAGTCACTTCCTGGTTATAAAGAATGTCTAAAAATAGGCCTTAAAAGTCTCTCGTATCGCAGGGTCATTCACAACCTTGTACTTGCTTTCACGATTTTCAGGGAGAGACTATATTGAGACCTTCCAAGTACTGGGTCTTCAGACCCAGTTATGGAAGGACTAGTTGCTTTTCTATTTATCATAAGCGGAGCGGTAGGCGGAAAAAGTTAACTATATCGAATTACAATTTTTTGATCGAACAGCAAAGTTGATCCGAAAATTACCTAGTGAAGTTTTTGCTTGTAAAAACAGTACTTCTTTCAAAAACAAACTGAAGACACTGAAACTGAACGAGCACGAGATTACAGATAACCTTAGTATGACATCTGTATGTATGGCTTTGATGATGGCAATATACGAATAAATCTCTGCTGCGATTACCAACTAGCACGGAATGACGCCTCTTGGAATTTCATCTTATTCTGGACGCTACTATCCATGATAACTCATATTCCGTCATCGCATAATACTTTCAACATCTATACTGTCTTTATTAGCTGGCGTGCGATTGAATTTCTATCTCATGATCAATCTGAATTCTATATACTCATTGTCATTCTGTGTTGTTGTTCAACACTATGTACTTATCAGTGCTGGACATAATTATAAAGCCACTCTTGGTGCAAAAGTTTTGTCAATTTTTTCAATCCATTGGCAAGCACGCTAGAATAAAGATAAGCAAACACTTCAAGAAGTATCCGATGCAAATCTTTCCCTTTCCAGATGCTGAACTCTCGTTGTGTTTCGTTGAGAGAATAACGAGATATTTGCCGGAAATTACAACTACTCGTTTTTACTATGTCCAACTTCCACTAATTTTCAAAATCTTTGTATGAGATTTTCGGAGAAGCCCCAATAACCACCAGATAGGGCAACCTTTTGCCAACAAAAGTAATTTTTTTTAGCTGCTTTTTCAGGAATTTGCTGAGTAATTTTCTGAAAGTCTTGTGTTTTGGAAAGAATCGCATAATTTTTCATTCAAACACTGCAAAACCTACAGAATACTGAGGTTTCAACACACGATTATTACTACGCTGCCATTACAAAGTAAATGAGCGATTTTGCTTCAAATTATGAAGATTTTGAAACATAGGTTACGTCAGTGCGCTCATGAAATTGCGAATTACTGC